GAACACCAAGTTCTGTAAGCAGCCAGCGCAACCAAATTATCTCGCTGACAGCACTAGCCATGGCACGATATTCTGCCTCGGCAGAGGATCGTGCAACAACACGGTGTTTCTTAGTGCCCCAAGAAATGGGAGCGCCACCAAGAGTGACAAAATAACCTGTAGTGGAACGACGACTACTCTCGCAGCCTCCCCAGTCTGCATCACAAAAAGCAGTAAGTGTCATGTCGTTAGAGGTAGGAAAGAATAAACCTTGACCAGGGGAGCGCTTGAGGTAGCGCAATATGCGAAGAGCAGCATCCATATGCGCCTGAGTAGGCGAGTTGACAAACTGAATTAGGACATTGACCCCATAGGTAATGTCGGGCTGAGTAACAGTGAGGTAGAGTAGCCTCCCAACCAAGCGACGGTACGGTGAGGGATCGAGCAGGAGGTCATCGTCAGTGCCCGAACGAGTCAAATGATGATTTTGCTCAACGGGAAAAGAACTGGGCCGAGCTCCTTCAACTCCAACATCCTCAAGAATATCCAGTGTATATTTTCGCTGACAGAGAACAACGCCATCACGAGTGCGAGCAAACTCCATACCCAGGAAATATCGAAGTGGACCAAGGTCCTTGATACTGAACTGCTCATCTAAGTGCTGCTTGACTTTATTGATGAAAGATAGATCATTACCAGTCAGAATGACGTCGTCCACATAGATGAGTGCGACGACAAACGTGCTCCCCCGGCGAAAAATAAAGAGTGAGTGGTCTGCCGGAGAAGATCGGAAACCCAGAGCACATAGAGATGCAGTGAACTTATGATACCAGTTCCGTGAAGCCTGTCGTAGACCATAAATGGACTTATGGAGCCGACAAACACGTGTATCGCCAGGTACAGAAAAACCAGGTGGCATCCGCATGTAAACTTCTTCCTCAAGATCACCATGAAGAAAAGCGTTATTTACATCCAGCTGATGTAAATGCCAACCACGGCTAACAACGACTGCAAGAAGACACCGAACAGTAACCAGCTTAGCAACCGGAGCAAACGTGTAATGGAAATCGATGCCCTCAATTTGAGTATAGCCCTTTGCCACTAAGCGTGCTTTGTAGCGTCAATGCTACCATCAGGGCGATACTTAATTTTGAAGACCCACTTTGCCGCGATCATGCGCTTGCCCGGAGGGAGGTTAACAAGACTCCAGGTGCCATTAGCTTGAAGGGCTTGGATCTCTTTGACCATGGCCTCTCGCCATCTGGGGTCGGCCCAAGCTTCTTTGAACGTGCGTGGCTCATCATGAGAAGTGACTGCAGCAAGAAAAGTCTTATAAGTAGGTGTAAAATTGTCATAAGAGACAAAAGCAGAAAGAGGATAGGTAACAGTTGCTGCAGCACTTCCCTCGTCGTTATGAGTGAGTGGGGCAAAAGTGGTGTCATACACACTCCAGTGCTTGGGCCGAACTCGGACGCGATCACTTTCGTCGAGGAGCGGCTGCTTCGGGCGCAGGAGCAGCAGGCCCAGAGGACGTGGGCTCGTGCTCGGGTGTGGTAGCTGGGTCCGGAGACGATGGAGATGGGCCCGTCGGGACAGACGCGGCCTCGTCTGTTGCGGAGGATGGGCTAGTGGCACTCGCATCCGGCCTAGGATCGGGGGCACGAGAAGCCCCAAGGTCTTCGACAAGATCATCATCACAATCCACGGTGGGCTGAGCAAAGTTGGGCCGAGGTATCCAGTGAAGCCGCTGTGAGATGTCGGCTTGGAAGGGGAACTGGTCCTCATGAAAAATGACGTCGCGGGACGTCAATAGCTTTTGTGTAGCAAGCTCATAAACTCGATACCCTTTCTGACTGGATGCGTACCCAAGGAAAACACATGCTCGGCCACGTTCTCCAAACTTGTCCAGGGCAGCATGTGGTGTCCTTCGTGTATGCCAGACAGCCGAATACTCGAAGGTGGGAATAGGGCGCAGTCTTTCCAAAAAGAACTTCGAACGGTGGTGCGCCTGGTGTCCTTAGTAGGGAGACGATTGATCAGATACGCCGCCGTGAGGATGCACTCTCCCCAAAATCGTAGGGGAAGACTCGCCTGGAAACGCAAAGCTCGTCCTGTGTTCAATAGGTGACGATGCTTTCGTTCCACTACTCCATTCTGCTGTGGAGTATCTGTACACGATGTTTGAAGCATGATACCTTCCTTTTCATAATATGCTTGTAAAGCGAGAGTGTTAAATCAGGACCGTTATCGGCCTGAATTTTCTTAAGACGGAAACCAAATTGTCGCCGAATCTGCTGATCAAACATCATCAAGTACCTGCCAACATCAGACTTGTAACGAAGTAAGTAGACCCAAACACCTCGACTGTTATCATCAACAATGGTGAGGAAATAATGAGCACCGCTAAGAGATGACGTTCGATAGCCACCCCATATATCAACATGAATCAAATCAAAACAATGTTGGGTTCTAATCCCACTCGACGGGAAAGGCTGTCTACTTTGTTTGGCTCGAGAACAAGAGTCACAAAGCTTATTAGAAACAAAATCAATATCAAGTGCTGAACGTAACAAATTCAGTTTTCCAAAAGATGGATGCCCCAGTCTTGCATGCCACAATTCGTCTGACACCTTACTTCCGCTGTTTTGCTGCACAAGCTTGCACTCGGCCACCACCAACAGCTTCAAATAATATAGCCCATCACGTAACTCACCCTTCCCAATCAACTTCTTGGAGAGTAAGTCCTGAATAACGCAAAAATTATCGAGAAAAATCAATGCAACTCTATTATCTCTTATGAAACGGCTTACCGAGATGAGGTTGCACCGAAACTCTGGCACGTGCAATACGCGCTCAAGAGTGAGACCCGACTGTAATTCCACTCTCCCAACGTGTGCAACAGGTATGCTAGCCCCATTGGGAATTCGAACCGGTTTCCCATTCTCATGTCTTATTTTATTTGTCAATATAGAATCATCCATAGTGATATGCTCATTACATCCTGAATCAAGTAACCATTCAGAATCCATAGAAAACATACCTGCTAAATTGGCGGCAGGATCATCAGCGCCCTTTCCCGGATGTCCAAAGAATTGCCTGAGCTGCTCGAGCTGTGCGAGGGTGAAGCCAGACACGGGACTTGTGTCATTCTTCTCGTGCTCAACCTAAGCTGCACGTGGTTCCCTAGCCCTTTCACGTGCATGTCCTTCCCCCGTGGCTCGAGGTCGTCGCTGCTGCTGTTGATCATTTGGCTTGTCACGAGACTCATGTGGCGGGTAGCCATTTAATTGATAGCATACTTCTCTGGTGTGTCCCAATTTTTGACAGTAACTACACCTTGGTTTATCCCGTCCTCCACGTTGAGTCCCTCGGTCACCCTCACGTTGAGTGCCTCTGTCGCCCTCGCCACGGGCCGCAAATGCGGCTGCTTCTGGCGTGGGCCTGCGACTTTGTGAGATTAGTCACTGCTGTTCTTTGTTCAGGGTGATATTAAAGGCCTCCGCCAACATAGGTGTTGGCTTCATGGCGAGGACTTGAGTGCGCACAGCTGAGAATGCATCATCCAGTCCCATCAGAAAGTCGAAGAGGCGCGAGCTTTCTTGCTGCTCACGGATGCGACGCGATACATCACATGTGCAGTTGCCACAAGTGCAGATCGGTGTCGGCGAGATTGACGTCGACTCTTCCCACAAGGACCGCAGCTTGGTGTAGAAGGCCGAAACAGTATGTTTCTCTTGTTGAAGCAAACTGACCATCGGCGGATCTCATAGGCTCGGGATGCGTTCCCTTGCCCAAAACGATTCCGCAAATCGTCCCAGATTTCCCTCGATGTCTCCGAAAATCGTACACTGCTGCGGATCTCCTTATTCATGGCTGTCTTAAGCCAACCTTTGATCATAGCATCACAACGAATCCAAGCATCCCTATGCTCTGGATTAGTAGGTTTAGCGAGCGTCCCATCCACGAACGCGTACTTATTCTTTGCGATTAATGAGTCCTTCATGTCTAGGACCCATTCTCCATAGTTGGAAGCTGTGAGGATGTCGCCGACCACATCTGACCAGGCCCATCCGAATTGTGAAGGTAATATGCTGGCGGCAGGGTGCTGGTGCCGCTCTCTGGCTACATCTGCGTAGCATGAGGGATGCTCGCATCAGATTCTTCGCCAGCCATCGTGAAACAGTGGTCCTGAACCTACTGCTCTGATACCATGAGAAATTGGAGTAAAACGCGTGCGGAAAAATCAAAGAAGACAACGGTTTTAACGTGGTATCCCCGACGAGTCGGGACTAATCCACGGGAGATTTTGGAATCTCTCCAGCTACTGTTGTTATTAGGTTTTCAGTGATAATCGGCCATAGCCGTGTACAGTGCTTTTATAAACCCCTACAACTAGCAACTAGGGTTATATTCTCACAATCCTTGTCCACGTAGGGTACATGAATGGCCGCAGAGAAAGGCCTTGAATGGGCCGCATGTGTGGACGTGGGCTGTGTCTCGGTCAGGTCCAATATATACCATATGGTATGGCATGGTAAAATCAATTATCACACAGAACCCTCACATTTAACTTCCTAATTACCACATTTTACCACATGGTAATGCACTGTAAAATCAATTACCACACATAACCCGACCTTTAACTTGAAACTACCACACTATACCACATGATAAGGCATGGTAAAATCAAATTACGACACTATACCAATGATTCCAAACATGGTACAAGTAATTACCACCATGGTATGGTATGGTAAAACTTAAATACAGAACACAATAATATCACAACACAACACTATAGTATCACCTCTCATCGTATACCAGTAATTACCACCATGGTACCATATGGTATCTAACACATTCAAACTTCAATAAACAAACAAATTTGTATATCTTACCTCCTGATTCACCAGATTTAGCTGAATGATCAAATCCAAGATCGATAGATGAAGAAGCCGTTCGAACAGCACTAGATGAAGAACCAGATCCTACAACGCTGGTTGAAGAACCAGATCTATCAATTGGAACAACATCGCCACAATTTACGTAACTCATCTCACCAGAATACTGCAAAAAACACCAAAACACAAAGAACATATAACACATGAACAAGCTCGATTAGCTAAACATGAACAAGCTCGACTAGCAGCAATGAAAAACCTCCAACGAAACCAGAGATCAACAGAAAACTTGATTAGCTAAACAGGAAGAATAAAAAAAACTAATATCTAACCTCGTCGTCGATCAATTATGGAGAATCAGAAAAGATTCGCCGTCCCCTGTTTCTCAGCGGCTGCTCGCAGTTTCTCTCTACAAAAACCGAATCCAACTCGCGCACACGTCGATCAATTATGGAGAATCAGAAAGCTCGATTCGAAGCGGCTGCTCGCAGTTTCTATCGCTGTCGATCAATCATGGAGAATCGCCGTCCTTGTTTCTCAGTTGCTGCTCCCCTACTCGTAGTTTCTCTCTCCAAAAACCGAATCCAACTCGCGCACAGAAAGATTCGCAACAGACAAAAGGGGGAAGTCATTAATTCAAAAAATCGGACAAAAATGCCCCTGACATCACCGCATCAACCAAAACCACACGATCAGCCCGGCCCAGATCTACGGTCCTAAGGTGGTTACTCACGGGTGAGTAACAAAGGGTTACTCACCCTATCCTAAGTCTCCAACGAGGATCACCCTCGCTAAACTAGTCTCGGTACATGAAAGCAAGCTTGTATCTGTCAACCACATAAACAAAGAAGAACGGCGTGTTGGTATCAAAACGATGTGTCCTAGCAGCAGGAAGCGGGATAGGGTAGCCGAGCCCATCGAACCAAGTCTGGTTGCCGTCATAATAAGTTACCATCGTCACGCCGCCGTCCGGATGCGTCGTCTTCACGAACCACCAGTTCTGCTTGTCGAACGCCCCGAACCCCAAAACACGAGAGATAAATCTTTGGCGGAGGCTTCCAATCTCTAGGCTCCTCATCCACCAGTTGCACTATTGTCGTCGGGAACCACGTGGAGGCGCCAATGGCACCGGCTGCCTTCTGCTCTTGAGAACCGTGTCGTTCAAAAAGTATCGTGTCGTGGCTGTTATCGCCCACGATTGCTTGCGACGTTGCTGCTCCAGCTCGTGGTGTTCGGGCCTTCTCTTTCCTCAGCGTCTCGAGTTCGTCTTTCTTTATCTTCGCCAGCCTTCGCAGCTCCTCGTCCTTCTTCGTCTCCAGATCTCATAGCTCCGCCTCGTGCTTTTCACTCGCCCCCTCCATCTCCTCCTTCAGCTTCTGAAGCTCATCGTCTTGTTCCTCCATCTCTTCCCTCAGCTTCTCCAGGTCCTCCTCCTTCTTTTTCACCGTTCTCTTCATCTCCTCGTACTTCTCCTTGCTCACCCCTCTTGTGGTCACCGTCGTGGCAAGCTGCTTCGCCCGACTCGGCATGGTGTATTTCAATAAGCAGCATGGCCACGTGGTGAGGCCCGCTATGCTGACCCCATGAAAGGGCCAGTTGAAAAGATCGTTCAGTTGGAGATAGTGAATTCCAAAGTCTTTGTGTTCCCACAATTCGGTGACATCCTGGAAACAGTGCCCTTGTGGGCTCACCATCAGTCGCAGCCGAGCGAGGTGCTGGGCCAGCTTGGTCAGGGCCTCCCTTCCTTCGATCTCTGCCTGACCGTCGAAGAACATCAGGCCGTCGTAGGATAATGACTCATTCGTTCCTTCATCACTGTCATCGTGATCACAGGGAATGATGTTGCCAACTTCTTTCCAGTGAGCCTTTTCGGATGTAAGAAGGGTAAATGGTAGGGTTGCTCAACTCGTAGACTTCGAGGGTAGTTTTGTCAGAGGAAGCAACGAAGTGCTTGTCTGACTTGAAATCAAAGAGACGAACCATGCTTAATTACCTAGTTAGCTAATTAATATTCTCTTCTAGGTCCGCCACTGCATGCATGAGCAGTATCAAGACATCCAGGTGACCAACCGAGACGAAGTTACACCCGGTTCGATTCGGGAGATCGCTTATGGACATGGTAAGTACTTATTAATCATTTTTAATTATTATAAACATGCAATTAATTATTATATATATATATATATGATGCAGCCATCTCACGTATGGTTTCACGGGCGACCGAGGAAATCACCCGGATTGACCTCACGAGTCGAACCATTGAATCTAGGTTCAAGCCCGATGGTGCCTTCATTGGCAGGTTCTTTCGTTCGGCCTCCTTGGTCATAAAGGTCGAACCGCTGTCGATGAACCATGGCCCTATGCCCTCCCCCGACCACACGAAGGGGCCCACGCCCACGCCATCATCATCCACTCCCGATGCCGGCGTTATTTCTACAGAACCACCCCCGCTGCGGCGCGGTGACCGAGTTTGGATGAGACCTAAACATCTCAATATATATCACACCAACCTCCCTGGTGACAAGGGAAGTACCCATAATTTTTTCAATTACCCTTTATCCAATCATGTGTCGTATGATGGTTTTACCCCCACGTTTTGTGCTTTTCTTGTAGCAATCACTCGGGATGACGAACCTCAGACGTTTCTTCAGGCCATCAAGGACCCGAGGTGGCGCGCTGCAATGGCCAAAGAAATTCTCGCCCTTGAGGCCAATGGTACGTGGGACCTTGTTCACCTGCCTCCCTGCAAGCGTGCCATCGTCGCCAAGTGGATATACAACATCAAATACTATCAAGATGGCAGCATTGAGCGGTTTAAGGCACGGCTGGTCGCCAAGGGATATACACAGATTGAGGGTTTGGACTTCCATGACACCTTCGCCCCCATCGCGAAGTTAGTTACAAGTTTACTGCAGTCTTGATCGAGTTTGGTTTTCGATCCTCTCCTGCAGATGCTGCTTTGTTCATCTACCAGCGAGGGACTACTTTTATGACTGCCCTCATTTACGTCGATGATGTGCTCCTGCCCGGGAATGATCTCCCTTTCATCTCTCGCGTCAAGCGATTTGTGGATGATCGTTTTAGTATCAAGGACCTCGGAGTCCTACGTTATTTCCTGGGCATTGAGGTTGCCCGTGTCTCTACCGGCGTTGTGCTCAGTCAATGCAAGTATGCTTTAGACATACTGGAAGATGCTGGTGTTCAGGATTCTCGCCCTAGTGCTTTCCCAGTTGAGCAGAACCACCAGCTCACACGGCCGAGTAATGACGATCTCTTGCCTGATCCTTCCCAGTTTCGGCGGCTGGTTGGTCGCCTACTCTATCTCACCATCACTCGCCGGGATATCACCTATACTGTCAACATCCTCAGCTTATTTGTTCATGCTCCCAGTCAGATGCACTTGGATGCTGCTCACCGGGTTCTGCGATATCTTAAGTCCAGTCCTGGCCAAGGAATCTTCTTCCCATCTTATAATCCTCTCCGACTTACTGCTTATTGTGATGCCGACTGGGGCGGTTGTCAGAGTACTCGTCGTTCGACGACTGGTTATTTTGTGTGTCTTGGTGGTGCACCGATCTCTTGGCGCATGAAGCAAGAAAAGGTAGTGGCCCGGTCCTCAACAGAGGCTGAATATCGTGCCATGGCCAGCAGTGTTAGTGAGATTGTATGGCTACGTTGGTTACTTGGCGAGCTCGGTGTTCCTCAGAGTCACTCGACCTCGCTCCACTGTGACAATCAAGCGGCCCTGCATATTGCCAACACTCTAGTCTTCCATGAGCGTACTAAACATGTGGAGATGGATTGTCATTTTGTTCGTGAACGTGTTCAACTTCACACGTCATTCCAGTCAAGGTGCGGGCTGAACTTCAACTTGTGAATCTCTTCACCAAAGGCCTCGGTGGTGATCGTTTTCGTTTTCTCCTTTTCAAGCTGCACGTTCGTGACCTTCACACTCGAGCTTGCGACAATTTTACATAATGCACTTTACACCTACCTATTAAAAAAATTATGTTGTAAGTCAAAATTTATAAAAAAAATATTTATAATTTAATTGAATCAATCACGATTAACATTTTTCTGGTAATTAGCTTTTCCATTAAGCACACTCGATCAACTAGATCAAACCTCACAAAAAACACAGACACCCAATCTTACATTAGCACACTACAGATAGTCAAGCCACGGTACATAAATACTTCTCCTATTACATGGTTACTTTCCAAATCATCTTTAAACTTAACTTTGCCGAAAGTTAACAAAGCAACTTCTTCATTTACAGCCTGTTTGGATTGACAAAAAAGTAAGGAATTGGAATTCCATTTCCATATATTATGTTTGGAATAATAAAAAGGTTGAGAATTGAATTCTAGTGGGTCTAAAATATGAGAATTACAATTCCTATCAAAAGTGATAGGAATTGAGAGAATGAAAATGCAATTAGTGGGACCCATCAATACTTTTTATTATTTTGTTGACCCACTATCATTTTACTCTCTTTCTCTCTCATTCATATTTCATTTAACAAAATAAAACAAACATATTACATTATTCATTATGGTTAAAAGTGCAATTCATTTCCATAGTTGTAGGAATTTTACCAAACACTAGAATTGGAAATGGAATTCTATAAAAATAAAAAATTGAATTCCATTTCCATTTCCATTTCTTCCGGAATTGTATCCAAACAGGCTGAACAGTTCCCATTGCCTGGACTGTTCAGCAAATACCCTCCTGCATCTTTCATTCCACATCAGGCTACAAATCCAACACCATATTGCACTGACTACATGACTTGTTCAGCCTCCCTTCTTGCAATTCCACACATCTTCTGTAACATCTGCTCCCAAAGATAGAGGCCAACTTCCAAGCAACGAACCAATTACCGTTGAGATCAGTTACTCAGTATACTCACATTGACAGAAAAGTTGTGATCTACTCTTCATCTCTTTTGCCCAAAGTACACATAAAGCATCAGTAATCTTCCCCCAACCTTTAAGCTTGTCCCGGATGGCAATTCTATTCAATATACTCAAATGTCATACAAAACTGAAACTAGGCTTGTAGTTTAAGCAGTTGCCTCCATGGCCAAGATCCATCCATGGTAGGTTTCAATTCCCATATAGAGCGATTATTCAATTTGTACCTCTGCACCCAGGCTAGCCAGAATCTCCTTCTCTGCATGAAACGTAACCACATGAGGCAATCTATGCAAGTGACATTCATGTTATAAGATCTCTCAGATCCATGCCTCCTTTCGTTTTTGGTGTTGCCAAGAGTTTCCAAAGGACTTTTGCTTTCCCTACACCCTCACCATACCATAAGATATCCAAGCATACCTTTTGAATCTGTTCAATTATTTTCTTAGGTAACACAAAAATGGTCATCCAGTATTGGAAAAGAGAATAAAGCATCGAGGAGACCAGTTCAAGCCTTCCTGCATAGGAAATTTTTCCAGCTCTCCATGCCCTAATTATGCAATTCATCTGGTCAACCAGAACTTCACTCCTTACTATTCAGTTTACTAGAGATTAACATTTTGAGATAGAATTAAGATAGATGTATTAAAATAAAATAAATATTAGTGACACAATATATGACATGGTTTTGCGGGCTAGTGACCCACCCTCCCCCAAAAATTGATGACTTACACCCACCTACTATATTTGCCCAAACACTTTTTCGGTTAATTATAATTTTGTGGATTATGGAGGGTTTAACAGTTGACGGACGCGCCCATTGATTATCCCTAGTTAGTAATTAGTTCTTCAATTCTTTACAAATTAGTCTTACTAACCGAATCAATAACTGTTACAAACCAGACCAACCAATATTACAAGTTAGATTAATTAATATTACAACTTGGTCATACAAATATTACAAATCAAGCTGAGAAACATTACAAACTAGACTACAAAACATTAAAAATTATAAAATTTTCTTTTAAAAAATTACAAATTTTTTTGGTAACTATTATAAACAAGACCAACATGAATAACTAATATTAGAAATCGATTTTACAAATATCACAAACAAGATTAAGAAACATTACAAATTAGAACTGCAAAACCTTGAAATTTTTTTGTGTCTTACCATTTCTGTGAATCACACCACTCTTATAAAAGATTGTAGGGCTTGTAGTTTTGCATTTTGTAGCTAAACCTGACCATAATAAATAAACAAGAACACGTCAACTTAGAATTATAAGAGAAATAAACATCCAATAAAACCAAACCAAAAGGAAAGGTGTTGAGCCAAGATTGAAGGGTGAGAAATTCTTGTATGCCTTTCAAGATGAATGTTGTTGTTAGATGGCCACTTTGGCTTGAGCTTCTAGATTGAATGACTACAGTAAAATTCTAGTTCCTTTAGTCATTTGGTGAAGATGTTTTCGTTCCCGCTTCATCAACCAATGAGTTGATTCAGAATTGAGTAATAAATCTACTTTTTGTTGTTGTTGTTGTTGGGTACAGAGATTGTAAAGAGAGCAGTAGGATAGGCAGTAAAGACCACTAGAGAGATGCATATAAAAGGAGGATAGGATTGGAAATGGCTTTGGTGGTGAATGGTGTGGTGAATCCTATCAAAGAGAAAGGTATTTGTGGCTTCTTGCCAGAGGTGTGTAGACTGCTTTTATATATGTTTCTAGTCTAAATAACAACCAGCATTCAATTCCTCTTTTCTTTGATCATTGCTGTGACAGGTCATATGGTGCATTGCTAAATTTGTTAAGATGGAAGAAAGCTAAAGATGAGGAAAAGCTGCAATTATATTGTAAATAAATACTCTGTTTTGTAATTTGTTATAAGTGCAAGTGTTTTGTAGATAGATTATTACATTAATATGTGAAAAAATGTAAAAATTATTTGTACTATATTAGTATCTGTTATTAGCTACCTATATGAAAAATTGTGCAGCTAACCTTTACCTGCGCCACTTTTAGTTACGCAAGCTACAAATTGATTTTTTTTTAGCTAAACATTTAG